CTTTTATCTACAGCGAAGAGGTCAAGTGCATTAAAGGTCTCTTTAGAGTATTTTAACGTTAAATGCCATACTCGAGGGTACAGCGAAGGCAGATTCATTCTCTCTCCTAAACGTCCAGCTTTCTGGAGGATGATGGAGCAGATCTTTAACGGCTAATTTACCTCAACCTGAAATTACTCTGAAATCCTAGCATGTGGTAGTTTGTTATGACACAAGGCGCTGAGGATCCAACAGACAGCCCTCTCTGGCACAATTAACCATCTCTGTGAGTAATCTAAGCCCACACGCTGAACTACGCTTCAGTTTGAGCCAGCTTCCTAAACACATACTAATGCCGTTTTGAATTGTGAAGAATATTTCAAGTAAGATTGCTATTAGATTCATTTTACTCGTTTAAATTAGCATTAGTCTTTCTGAGAAGTTGATTTTCTGACAATTAGTTTTAATGACTAAAATTACATATACTGCATGTTTACTGCTAGTTTTGGATGAGCGTCTCAAACTGACTGATCAAATGAAACCAATATAAAAATTCGAAATTATTTGAATTATCAGAATGATGAGAACAAACTTATTTTAAATGACAAATTCTCTGAATGTCTTGAATAATTAAAGGATTTTAAAGCATGATTACTATTTTACATTGCATTACTTCAACACAACTATAGTCTTAATTTGCGTCAGTGTTCAAAGTAAAAAAGTTAAAATGGGCCCTAAATTGAAAACTAATCAAAATGTAATTTTCTGTTCATTTAAATAGAATGTGTATTGTATATACCTCTTTTATTGCCATCTAGCGCCCTCTACTGTAAATCAAGGTAAAATACACATAACAAAAATGACATATTCAAAAGTTTAACACATTTCTCCCACGCGGTTCTTTGCTGAATACAAAATATACAATTAAAATGATTTGCTTAAGGAAAATATAACACCACATTTCTCACCGTTAACACGGAGTCCTTGTTGAGCTTGTTTCAGGTGAACAAACGTATGTAAAATCAGACCCATGCTAGTTAATTGACTCTTTAATGTATATCGCAATTATTTCATTATGACAGCGTTTTGAACACGTGTTCTGTGATTCTGAAATGTATTTTCCCATCATCTGTGAATTATTTTACCTCACCTGCTAATATAGTTCGTTAATCTCACCTTTCGGTGGCGAAATTGAGTCATACACATCCTAAACCCCCTCTGGCCTCCATCCATAAACTTTCTGCTTATTTTGTAATCCATATTTTTATTTCTTTTCTTGCAACTCAACCGCGTTTGCCGCGTGTTTACTTTTTCCACAAGTCTGAATCCAATGCCAAACTGAATCATTAATTTGAACCGGTTCTTTAGATGATTCGAGCTAACTGATTCACATTTCACCGGTACGAGCTTTGTTTAGGAGTAAAACTGTGATGTGCATGGTGTACAACGCAACATTTGATTTAACCGAAAACAGCCATTAAAATCAGCATTTAATATTTCTTTAAAACATGTGAATAACACGTAAAATGTAGACTTTTTGAAACTCTATTAAGCGATAACTCAAATGAATCGATTCACTCAAACGACTCTGACTGTGTACAGAATGGAAACTCTTACTACGTACTAAATACTGCATAGTGTACACTATTAAAAACAGTAAGTTTAATATTTTTTCATCATTACACTTTACATTTTTCAAACAGTGATATGCTATATTATGTCCTTTTTTCCGATTCGATTAAAACCAGAACAAATATCAGCCAATGGGGTCAGAAAAATTTAACTTAATTCAAAAGAAAAAAAGCTATCATACTCCACTGACATATTTGCTTTAATCTCAAGCATAAACTTAAACTTATTGGAAAACAAGACTACTCATCTTTTTCCATCTCAAGTAAAAGAACTATATTTGAAGTAGAAAACAAGAAAAGAAAATTATTTTTTTTGCAGTTCATGCAACATACCAGGGGTTTCATTTATAAAACTTTCCGTAGATTTCATCCTAAAAGTGTACACATCCTAAACCCCCTCTGGCCTCCATCCATAAACTTTCTGCTTATTTTGTAATCCATATTTTTATTTCTTTTCTTGCAACTCAACCGCGTTTGCCGCGTGTTTACTTTTTCCACAAGTCTGAATCCAATGCCAAACTGAATCATTAATTTGAACCGGTTCTTTAGATGATTCGAGCTAACTGATTCACATTTCACCGGTACGAGCTTTGTTTAGGAGTAAAACTGTGATGTGCATGGTGTACAACGCAACATTTGATTTAACCGAAAACAGCCATTAAAATCAGCATTTAATATTTCTTTAAAACATGTGAATAACACGTAAAATGTAGACTTTTTGAAACTCTATTAAGCGATAACTCAAATGAATCGATTCACTCAAACGACTCTGACTGTGTACAGAATGGAAACTCTTACTACGTACTAAATACTGCATAGTGTACACTATTAAAAACAGTAAGTTTAATATTTTTTCATCATTACACTTTACATTTTTCAAACAGTGATATGCTATATTATGTCCTTTTTTCCGATTCGATTAAAACCAGAACAAATATCAGCCAATGGGGTCAGAAAAATTTAACTTAATTCAAAAGAAAAAAAGCTATCATACTCCACTGACATATTTGCTTTAGTCTCAAGCATAAACTTAAACTTATTGGAAAACAAGACTACTCATCTTTTTCCATCTCAAGTAAAAGAATTATATTTGAAGTAGAAAACAAGAAAAGAAAATTTTTTTTTTTGCAGTTCATGCAACATACCAGGGGTTTCATTTATAAAACTTTCTGTAGATTTCATCCTAAAAGTGTACGTATGCACAAAAGCTAGATTTTGCGTACGCACAAACGTTTTCAGATTTATAAAACCATGCCTATGCCAGAACCTGCTATATAAATCCCAGTCGGGGGAAGATTGTGCGTACGTGCATCTCCACCCCGACTCCTCCCCGAAATCACCATATACGGAGCTTACAACGCCTAGTTTTACTATGCATAACCTCATCTGCATATCATTTCCATGTATATTCCCATCCACGTGACACTATATTTAACACCGTTAAAGGTACAAGACATTAAAGGCAGGGTATGTGATTTTTCAAAAACACTTTAGAAAACTGATTTGGGCCGAATAGCAAAACAAACTTGTAGCCAATCAGCAATAAGGGGCGTGTCTACTCGTGATGTGGAGGAGAGCGCGTTCAGTGCATGGGACGGACATTAGCCGAGCCGAGGGTAGGGGCGTGTTTGTTTTGGTGATTTCAAATATCAACATTGGCTACCAGAAATCACTTACTCTGCCTTTAAGGAAATATGAGATACGGACTATAAATGCCATTTGTGCCATACACAATTTTTATTGCTGAAAATCATCCAGTATCGTTATGTTTTAGCATAAATATCTCAAAATCCATAAAAACAAAACTGATTAAAATAGTTCTCATATAAATATTAGTTGATCTCATTCTTTTACACTGATAATATTTCAAATAATATTTCAATTGTTTTAAATAATTCAAATCAAATTTAATTTATGCAGTTTTGCTGATAAGGTGAACATCTTTTAGCTATTTTTAGCCTATATTTATTGCAGTGTAAATAGAATTGTCTGACTCAGCGCGTCACTGACAAAGTAGCCTATTTTTAAAAAGAAAACATGCAAATTACCATTTTCTTCAAATACAGTGGTATTTTTCATAATGCTGTGGCGATGCCGTCACACGACATCAACACCTCTGTGCAGCTGCGGTTGTACAGTAAGATATTATTATTGGACCTATTGAAACTGGATAATGGACCGTTCGACCACTGAATCCAGCAGTGTCTGCCATAATATCGAAGTAAGTGCGCATCATTGATCATTGTTCTCACTAAAATATTCTCATAACATGAGATCTGCAGTTTAGTTTAAAGATTAATGTGCACCTATAGCACTCCTCGTTGTCATTAAAACAGCATGCCACAGGAAAAGTGATCAAGCGCATCCACTAAACATGTCTAAAAATCATATTTTTGTTTAACTTCTGCGTAATGACTTTTTTGTAATTTCTGTGCTTATCTCCATTAATGAGAGTGGAATATTTAATGTAAATGTGTATATCGAAATGAAAACAGATTTTAAAATAGTCGTTTACTTAATTACTTTTCTCACTTCAGGAAAAAGAGTGCGTACGCATGGTCTAGATTAGAATGTCCGTGCGGCGCGTACATATTTACGCCAAGTTTATTTTTAATAAATCCCGATATGTGCGTGGAAAGTTGCGTACGCAATTTCTATGCCCATTTTGTGCGTGCGCAACGTTTATAAATGAGACCCCAGGACTTTATGAACTTAAATAGTATACGTTTACTAAAGTAGTTAATGCAAAGTTATCAGGGTTTTGAAATCAAAGGTGTTTTGGCAAATCACCATTATAACTCAACTTAAAATTGTCACAGCAAAAGACACCATTTAAACCAGGGGTCACCACTCGGTCCTGGATGGCCGCTGTCCTGCAGAGTTTAGCTCCAACTTGCCTCAACACGCCTGCCTTGAAGTTTCAAGTATACAAAGACAGACCTTGATTTGCTGGATCAGGTGTGTTTGATTAGGGTTGGAGCTAAACTCTGCAGGACACCAGCCCTCCAGGAACAAGTTTGGTGACCCCTGATTTAAACCATTAAGATTGACAAATTAACATTAATGTTAGCCAGTAAACAACACTTCCAAAACTTACAAATCATTTATTTCTACCAAAAACACTATAGGAATGAGATTTCAAATGAGTAACATTGCTGGTCGCTAACAAATATCCTAATTGACAAAAAAATAAAAATTCAACTTGAACATTATCACATTAGAAAGCAAGTTTAAAAAAAAAAGAAAAAAAAAAAGGGGTTTAAAATCAAAGCAACAAAAGTGGAAATTTCCAGTCACTATTAGATGCATTACCCAAAACACTGACATTCACGGGACTCTGGTGTTTTAAAAGGGCTCTCCTACGCTATGCAACAGGAAGCAGAACAAGCATCTGGAAACATTGAGAAAAATTTACTCAAAATTGTTTTATTTCAAAAGCTCTGGCAGCTCCCGAACCTCATGTGGCAAATCCAGTAGACATGTAAAATACAACCATACAATACATTATTCAAAAAAGGTACCAAAAAGTACAGTAAAAATAACACTTCCATCTCTGGAAATGTGGACAAAAGGAAAATAAAATAAAAATAAAAATGTGGAAGTGTGACATTGCTTCCCCTATTCATCTGTTCTGTACAAATGGGTCATGATCTCATCCGGTAAAAGGAAAGAGCCCGCAGGTGTGTGAACTGCTGTTGTCGTCACGGTCAGACTCCTGGTTTTTGGGAATACTTTAGTCCTGATGAGAAACAAACAGACATGGTCAGCGGCAGGTTGGAAAACGTTGAGAAAGACAAATGCAAAGCAGAGTTTTGCACACATTTTGAACATTAAAAGTACAGCAAATATTCTGTCATTTGTTAATTTTCACCTTTTACAAGGATTTGCAAACCAATTCAAATGTTACAAAATGCACCCTTCCTTCAAACGTTCACATTTAATTCAATGTTACTTGACATTTTGTAACTGTAAAATTTACTAGCAATTTCTGAGAGAATTAGTTTCTACACCAAAATCTGAATTCTCCAGATGTAAATGTATTTTATTGCAACACTTCAAAGCTTGACAAGAACAGATCTCCACTATTTCTTCCTAATTTTCCAAACTCCGATGCAAATGTCCAAAGAAATGTACTTGAAGCAAAACATGTCGTCTTTTTTTGAAATACTGGAGCTCATGACTACAAACAAATCTGCCGATGGGCTCAGAGAGAAAAAATAAATAACTAAATAAACCACACAATTCAAAAGGAAAATAAGCTTTCATACCGCATTGACAAATATTTGTCCTTGTTTCAAGCATAAACTAAAAATTTTACCTTTTCAGAAAATAAGGCATCATATCATGGCATGACACATTTAATGCAAAGACTATGAATTTAAAACTTTCTACTATGATTTAAAGCTTTCATTTGTGAAAGCTTGGGGCTCTGAATAAAAGTCATCAAGCTCAATTCAAGTTCTGTTCATATTCCACAGTGTCAGTGCAGTCAAATCAATATTTCTAAGTAGTGTTTCTTAAACCCCAAATAAGCAAGAATAAAGAAACAAACACACTTATCCATTGAGTCACACACTACCTGTTCTGCATGATCAGTATGGCTTGTAGCCACCCTGGTGGCCTCCACGTCTTGGTGTTTTCCCATAGCTTGTATTGCCCTGGTCTGGAGAAAAAAAAAAAAAAAA